TTAAATCTATTCATAGAATCAAGTTCTATAGCCGTGACTGAATCGGGATTTCCTAAGGAGATTTGCTCGAGATATGATGGCAGATGCGAATACCCATCTTCTGTTGTTCCTCTCACCAATGTTTGTGCATATAACAATGCCCTGTATGAAGTGGTGTAATCAAGCTCCATGTCAAACATGTTCTTCATTGCATCTTTGATATGCTGCGGAGTCAACCCATCAATGATTCCAACACGATCAATGAAAAGCCTACCGACATACTTCGGAGTACAGTGTCTCCGCTGAGCGATTCGGTCTCCCACTGAGCATGTATGTGTTTCCACATATTTTGTTACCCAAAACGTGTTTGTACCATGTTTCACACTCGCTCTAATCTTCCATCCACAACCACTAACCCGACATATTGACACAAGGAGAGTTTTCGTTGACTTGTATATTCTGAAGGAGAACTTACGCCTCACTGCTGTCAACCGCAGCTCTGAAAGCAGTGCATCCTTGCTAACAAAACTCTTGTTGACATATATACCGTTACCATTCGATCGTCCTCCTTCAATAGCATATGTATCTTTTGAAATCTTCAAAAACCACATCACCATCTTCTTCCTCATCCTCATCTCTAACCTTTCCATAAAAATTATAATCCTCACCATTTTCGTCCGCTTCAGCAACATTAGAGCAAACAGAGATTTCAGCATCCTCCTCCTTATCATCCTCCTCCTTATCATCGTCCTCCCCATCATCCTCCTCCCCATCATGATTTTCATCTCCAACCAACTCATTATCACCTTCATCTTCAAAACATTCATCAGCTTCTTCCCTTTTCTCTGAATCCGTTCCCACCTTGCTACGGCTTGATTCACAAAGACATACTCTATGAGTTTTGAGTATCTCGAACAAGTTATGAACTTGTCTATCACTTGTAACATGGATGGGAGGGGTGTCTGGAGCCATCATCATTTATGCTGGTAATGAGTATCTAATCTCCACAGTGACTGTGCTCATGTCCAGGTTATAATCTTCTTGTGCCATTGCAACAAGTTCAGCATGTGTTGAATCTTCATTCAATAAAAAAATCTTGCTCCTTTGAGATCATCAACCACAAAAATCCCAACGGCAATCTTTCAACAACCATTCTTCATACACTGCATGTAACTGACGAATCATCTGCAAAAATTCAAAATAAAACACATTAGTAAACATAGAGAATTTCATGAAAGTTTACTAAACATCGTCTGGACGACATACCAGTAAGTCGTCCGGACGACTGACCCGTAAGTCGTTCGGACGACTTACTTCTAAGTCGCCCATTGAGGTCATTTTTGCAATTGAAATTTAAATGAGACGACTTACTTCTAAGTCGCCCAGCTTTGTTTGTTAAAAAAAAATGCCAGACGACTTATAATTAAGTCGTCTAGGTAAAACGGGCTACTTTTGCATTTGACCGAATTGTGTCAGATATTTGACTTTTTCTGGACGACTTAAAATTAAGTCGTCTATGGGAAAGTTAAAATATCAATATTTTATTTTATCCAGACGACTTACGGATAAGTCGTCTCAGGTTAGTTTTGCAATTCAAAATAAAACTTAAATTTTTAACTTCTCCAGACGACTTAATTAGAAGTCGTCTGATCAGACGACTTATGTTAAAGTCGTCCAGGATAAGCAAGGTTTGACCAGAAAACTCGAAAAATATTCTGGACGACTTTGATTATCCTGGACGACTTTAACCTAAGTCGTCTGAGCGGTCGACTATTAATTAAGTCATCTGGAGAAGTTAAAAGTTTAATTTTTATTTTTGAATTGCAAAACTAACCTTAGTCTAGATTTAATAAAATATTGAAATTTAAACTTTCCCAGGGACGACTTAATTTTAAATCGTCCAGAAAAAGTTAAATATCTGACACAATTCGGTCAAATGTAAAAGTAGACTGTTTTACCTAGAGTCTGGTGTTTTTTTTTTAACAAACAAAGCTGGACGACTTAGAAGTAAGTCGTCCGTTTGACCAGAAGACTTATCCGTAAGTCTTCTACATCCAGAAGACTTACGGGTAAGTCTTCTACGCGAAGAGATCTTGAAAAAAATTCAATTTCAAACCTTATACTAGGTGAGATGACTTCCTTTGCACACAGAGTCTTCTCCAACCACACAGAACATCGAACGAAAGTAACCCACCAACAAATTGTATGCTTAAATAGCTCTATAAACCATAAAAAAATTTGCTATCAAAAGCTTGGGTTTTTGGTATGAATATGGAGACAAAGTGAAGGAGATGTTGTTTTTAGTTCATAACAATTGAGGAAGAGAGTATGAATATCGATTTTAAGTGCATTAAAAGCTTTAAACCTTGGTTGTACAAGGTTGTTGGGTTGTACAAGGTTGTTGGGAGTATTCATGGCAATGGCAATGTTGTAAATACTTGAAGATGATGAGGTTGAAAGAGTAAAAAGGCCATTTTCGAAAAAAAAGTAAAAAAAAAAATTAATGGCATTTTCGTAAATAAAATGAAGATGTGGGGTGGATAGGACAAAAGCAAGATGAGTTAAAAGAAGAAGTTAGTTTTGTGTTTGACTATGAATTTTGAGTCAATTTTGCAAAAAGCCCTATTTTTTGTCATCATATTTGTATGGGAAATTCTTTAAGAATATAAGAACTAATTTTAATTTATTAAAAACACACACAAACTATTAAGGGGTTCCAATTAATATATAGACTAATTTTTGTTACCTTATAAATACATAAACTTTTAAAATTGAGAGGTTTTACATTTTGATTTTGACGATGTCAACTTTGTTTAAAGACACCATTTAATATTTAGTTGAGAAAATTCCTTAGAAATACATATATTAATATTCATTTGTTGAAAAGATGTACAAACTATTAAGGTTTTCTAATTAATACGCAAACTAATTTTCGTTACCTTATAAATTTATGAACTTTTGAAATTCAAAATTTTTATACCTTAATCTCTTGTTGCAATTGTGCTTGTTGGTCGGGCCTCCGTAATCTTCACATTTGTCTGTTATAGGTTCTGATATCTCTAGAGGTTTTTTTTGTTTATTAGTCGCATTTTTCAACCACTCTAGAGATTATCTCTTCTGACTCGGTACTTCTGGTTGTAATCAAACTTGTCTCTTTAATCTGAGTTTGAGATCCAGCAGCGATCTATTTTCAAGCCATGAACGTCCGTTGAAATAAGAAAAAAAATCTCTTTAGATCGGCATATTTCAATCCATAGAAATTACTTTAAGTTATCCACTTATAAAATGTCAAAAACAATTTTAAGAAGAAATTTTTTTTTTATAAGACTGTATTGATTTAGGAGTTCAATAATACAGAAGAGGAAACAACGGAGAAAAAATGGGATGTCAATAGACACCAAACAAAAAAATGGGGTCTCACCAAAACCTCATTGCTGGGCCTCCAAAGCGAGTAGATGATGGAGCCACACCGGAGCGTTACAAGCGATATACGATTGATGATGAAGGTCGCGCGTGACACTCAAAGCAATAGCCGCTGCAGCTTCATTGCGTTCGGGAAGGGTGTGATCCAAACTCCATGAATCAATCCTTGCAAGGAGGAAAAAAATGCTGTGTCGGATATGGCTGAGGCTAAGGTTATTCTTCGTAATAAGAAAATCATAAAGGGTTTCAGAGGCAGTCTCAAAAATAATATTCGAGAAATGTAGAGTATGCAAACAATCAACTACCCAAAAAAGAGCCTACAAATCTGCTTCAGTTTTTGTGCGCATACATGAGTAAGCACGACGGCTATGCAAGACTGTAGACCATTTTAAGAAGAAATTTAGGGGCTTAATACTTTCCTTGTCATTTCTTGTGCTGATGATATCATCTACACGTACAAGGATAACTACAATACATTGTTGAGTTAAAAGAGTGAGGAGTGTCAGATCAGCCACATAATTCCAAACAAAATGTAATTAGGCACGTTTTCAAAATTAATGTGGAAAACCTCTGAATTTCAAAAATTCATGTATTTAAGAGACAATGAAAATTAGTGCGTGTATTAATTGAGAAATCTTAATAGTTAGTGTATTTTTTAACAACTCAAAAATAATTCGGGTATTTTAAGAATTTTTTTTCTAATTAAATACTAGACGGCGTCTAAACATCTATTAAACATAGTTAACATCATCAAAATCAAAAGTGTAAAACCTCCAAATTTGAAAAAATATGTATTTTGGGGCAAGTTCAACCAAAATTAGTCAGTGTATTAATTAGGGAATTTTAATAGTTTGTGTATCTTTTAGCATATCAAAATTAGTTTGTGTATTTTAGAGAATTTTGCTTATTTGTATTTGATATGTACTTACATAAAATCAAAAGAAAAATAAAACTAGAGTAAACTTATCAGTGGTTCATGCTCATAGTTTAGATATCAATATGCATCGTTGAACGTCAGTCATCTTTAGTAGTACGAACGTTTTTTCCCTTTTAAGAAGTAACAAAGTAAAAGAGAAACATCAGTCGAATAAGATAAAACATTCTCGGAAGAAAAAGCAAATCAAGATTTCTTTTTTTTGTTAGCAGTGGAAATTCCGAACTTGGTACACAACCTCCTCAGGACTCGAAATAAGCCTTTAGATATTCCAATTTTAAAAATAAGGGAACTAACCCTTTGTGTACTGATTGGTATTAGGCCACCAATACCGATCTTGATATTCAATTTATGGCTTTTAGATATGTGACTGATGTAATTATAGATTTAGAGAAAACCTGCAAAATATAATGGTTTCTGTCAGCTTTTTATAATTTGATTAACAAAATATTTACCTATAATAATAAATATACTATTTAGTAAGAGAGAAATATACACAAATGTTAACTTTTTCTAACCAACAGAGAGATCTCGTAGTAATTTTAGTAACATATACATTACATGCCTGGAAATTGATTATGAAAAGAATATTATTGAAATTCACATTGAAGTTATTATTATCATGTATTTCCAAACCGTCAATGACAAGTTTATGTAGTTAGGTATGGCTAGTGCACTAGAAACACTATGTGGTCAAGCCTACGGAGCAAAACAATATCACATGCTAGGGATTTACCTCCAAAGATCATGGCTCGTCCTCATAGGCAGTACCATTTGCCTCACGCCAATCTACATTTTTGCTGGCCCTATCCTCTTAGCCTTAGGTCAAGAAGAACGCCTTGTCCTTGTAGCTCGAGTCATAGCCCTATGGGTCATAGGCATCAACTTCTCCTTCGTACCTTCCTTCACTTGCCAAATGTTCCTCCAGGCTCAGAGCAAGAACAAGATCATTGCCTTTGTCGCTGCTGTCTCCTTAGGGGTCCATGTTTTCTTGTCTTGGCTACTAATGGTTCATTTCGAATTTGGGATCGGTGGTGCCATGACCTCGTCACTCATAGCACATTGGTTGCCTGACGTAGCTCAGCTCTTGTTCGTAATATGTGGTGGGTGTAAGGACACATGGAGAGGATTCTCTTGGTTGGCTTTCAAAGATCTTTGGCCAGTATTCAAATTATCTTTGGCTTCCGGAGGCATGACTTGGTATGGTATTCAATTTTTTTCTGACGTCTTATAGTGTCGAATCGTATAGAATATTAAGTAATATCTCGTTAAACAAGTATACATATAATATAAAACATACAAATACTCTTTGCGATGTTAAATGCTTTGAAAATGCCCAACTTTGTTAATACTAGTCCGGGTTGTAGTCTAATATTTTTGTCTTATTGGTCGATATAAGAGATAGATAGTATTTATGCATATTTATAAAATATCAGAAAGTTTATAGTATCAAAGACTGAACTAATAATTACATTCATTCACCTTGTCATTGATTGATAAATTTTTAGAATATAATTTTAGACTACAACCAAAAAGTTTGAATATACGTTTTATTTTGGTTTAAGCACTTTTGTCAAGTGATGTTATTAATTATTATGGTAAACGTAACTTCTTTTGATACTAATATTGGACAGTTTGGAAGTATGGTACAACTCGATATTGATATTGCTCACAGGAAATTTAAAAAACGCTGAGGTCTCTCTCAACGCACTAGCAATCTGGTAAGCTTTCTCCTGTCAGTTTCAGGAAAAAAAAAAAAAACCTTTCTCCTGTCTTTTGAAGATATACTCTTGGTATATTTATCTTTAGTTTTTTTTTTTTTTGACAGCGATTTATCTTTAGATTATTGTGGATCAGGCTTTTGGTTTACGGACCAATTCAGTGTTGGGCCTATTCTTAATGGGCTTAATACCAACAGTCTTAAGATGGCGAAGCCCATGTTGACTGTTTTAACGGCTGATTCGGGTAAAGCCGTTATAACAACCTCAAAGCCTAGCGTCTTCTTCCTGCGATCAAATCAGATTACAGAGGAGATCAAGAACGAGCAATCACAGAGATAGAGATTCAGAGAAGGAGAAAGAGTTCTACCAGGCGCAGTTGATCGGAGACTGGAGTCGGCGNGAGATTCAGAGAAGGAGAAAGAGTTCTACCAGGCGCAGTTGATCGGAGACTGGAGTCGGCGATACTCCGGTGATTCTGCGTGCCGGTTCCGATTACCCGTGGTGTATTTCGGAGGTAACGTTGTTGTGTAATCTCGTTGTAGAGATCACTGTTTACCGGAACTTGTATTACTCTGACTTTAGTGATTGTTGAGGGCGAATCTCCCTCCCCGGTGAGTAGGAAACGAACACCGGGTTAACAAAACCTTGCGTGTGCTCTGTGTCGTCTTTGTTTAATCTGCAAATCACAAAGTCAAACACATAAGAACTTGAATCATAGAAGAATCAATCAACTAAGCAATCAAGAATATAAAGAAAACGATCAACAGATGGTATCAGAGCCACAGGTTATTGTTGCTTGTGGTGTGTGTGCTGTGTAAACAGGATTCAAGAGATGGGAGGTTTTTCTATGGAGCCTACTCATGGTCGATTCAAGATGGATACGTTTGATGGCAAAGGAGATTTCGGAATGTGGAAGTACAAACTTCTTGGACAGCTTGAGATACAGGGATTAGCTTCAGCTCTAGATGAGGATGCTACTTTGTATAAGGATTCAGAAAAACTGGAAGAAGGAGATGAACCAGTTTTGGATCCAGAGAAAGTTGCAAAGGACACACGAGTCAAGAATCTTATGGGAACGTGTTTGAGTGATATGATCCTAAGGAAGGTAATGCATGAGAAGACAGCCTTGGGAATGTGGAAAGCTCTTGAACGTGACTATCAGACTAAGTCCTTGCCTAATCGAATCTATCTTAAGCAACAGTTTGCAAGCTTTAAGATGGAAGAAGGTAAAAGCATCGAGGAGAACATGGATTGTTTCTTGAAGCTGATAGGAGATCTTGCTAGTCTAAACATCATGATTAGTGATGAGGACCAGGCCATACAACTGTTAACAAGTCTGCCACCTCAGTATGAAGCTCTTGTTCACACGTTGAAGTACGGTACTGGAAAAGACACTCTCACCGTACTGGAAGTGATAACGTCAGCCTATGCTAAGGAGATTGAGCTAAAACAGAAAGGCGTGTTGAGCAAAGGGAAGGCTAGTTCTGAAGGTTTGTATGTTGAGTCAAGAGGCAGATCGAGTAAGAGGCAAGATAGAGGAAGCAGTCAGTCATACAGGAACAGATCCAAGTCTAAAGATGGGAAGTTTAAGCCTAAGCCTAAAGCCAATAAAGATGGGAAGACAGCCTGTTTCATCTGTGGAAAAGATGGACACTGGAAACGTGAGTGCCCTCAACGGAGTCACAAGCCTCAAAGCACAAATGACTCGGCCAACTCAGTGTCAACATCCAGACAACAGCCACTGGTACTCACCGTGAGTATGAAGGACACTAAGAGTGAATGGGTCTTGGATTCAGGGTGTTCTTTTCACATCACACCTCAGAGAGATGTGCTGTTTGATTTCAAAGAAATTAATGGAGGAAAGGTGTTGATGGCTAACAATACTCAGTGTGATGTTAAGGGAATTGGAAAGGTCAAGATTATGAATTCAGATGGTAATGAGGTTGTTCTTACAGAGGTTCGGTACATGCCAAACATGACCAGAAATTTGATTTCTTATGGTATGCTAGAAAAGGCAGGATGTCACTACAAGGGTGAAGGTTTCAAGGTTGTTTTCTACAAAGGTGACAGTAAGGTTCTTTCAGGGAACTACGAGGATGGGTTATACTATCTACAAGGTGTTGTTTCTAAAGCTGAGGTTAACATGGGAAAAGCTGAGCCTAACATGACAGACGTGTGGCACTCTAGACTTGGACACATGAGTGTCTCAAACATGAACGTGCTGATCAAGAAAGGTTATCTAAAGATCAAAGAAGTTGGAGACTTAAAGTTCTGTGAGAGTTGCGTGTTAGGAAAGTCTCACAAGCAGAGTTTTGAGACAGCTAAGCACACAACAAAGAACATTCTTGACTACGTTCACTCAGATTTATGGGGTTCTCCATCAACTCCTGAGAGCCTTGGAGGTTGCAAATATTTCATTAGTTTCATTGATGATTACTCTAAAAAGGTTTGGGTCTATTTTCTAAAATCTAAGGATGAAGCTTTTGAGAGATTCCGAGAATGGAAGTTAGAAGTTGAGAACCAAACAGGAAGGAAGCTCAAGTGTTTGAGGACTGATAATGGTTTGGAGTTTTGCAATCTAAGGTTTGATCAGTTGTGTAAAGAGTCAGGAGTTAGGAGACATCGAACATGCACTTATACGCCTCAACAGAATGGAGTTTCTGAGCGCATGAATAGGACTATCATGGATAAGGTGAGAAGTATGTTAGCAGAAACAGGTTTGGGACCTGAGTTTTGGGCAGAAGCTACATCTACAGCGGTATACTTGATCAACAGGACTCCTGGATCAAGCATTAACTTTGAACTACCTGAAGAAAGATGGACAGGTAGCAAGGTTGATTTGTCGAACTTAAGAAGGTTTGGTTGCTCTGCGTTTGTTCATCGGGTTCAAGAAAAAACGAGTCCCAGAGCAGTGAAAGGAGTGTTTGTTGGTTATCCATTTGGGGTTAAAGGCTATAGAGTGTGGATTCAGGATGAGGGAAAGTGTACTACAAGCCGGAATGTTGTGTTTCACGAACAGGAAGTGTACAAGGATACTTTAAGTGAGTCAGTCTCCAGCGAACAGGTTACAGATTCAGCAAGTTTTGACATCAAAGGAAAAGACAAACGTGTAAGTTTCAGTGATGATCTAATACAAGGGCCTACGGTTAGTACTTTTGAAACCGGAGAAACTTCAGGATCAGGTGGAGATCATTCTTTTGAGTCAAGTTCAGAAAGTTCAGATGGTGGTTTAGGGTCCGAAGATGATTTTGAGTCTGATCAGGAAGATGGCGGTATTGTGGTCAGTTCAGGTAACAGTTCTCTGGATGGTTACATGTTAGCGCGTGATAGAAGCAGGAGGCAGAATGTCAGGCCTCCGTCACGGTTTGATGATGCAAATTTGGTTGCATATGCTCTAAGTGCTGCTGAGGAGTTGGAGATTGATGAACCTAAAACTTATGCAGAAGCTATGAAAAGTCGAGAAAGAAAGTTTTGGGATGCTGCTGCTCAAGAAGAATTCTTGTCGTTGGAGAAGAATAGAACGTGGGACTTAATTGAAAGACCTAAAGATCAGAAGCTAGTGGGTTGCAGATGGATCTTCAAGCTTAAGCCTGGTATTCCAGGAGTGGAAGAAAGAAGATTCAAAGGGAGAGTAGTGGCTAAGGGCTATTCCCAGAAGGAAGGAGTTGATTACAACGAGATATTCTCTCCAGTTGTAAAGCATGTTTCAATACGTCTTATTCTGTCTCTAGTGGTTAATCGTGATTTTGAGCTGGAGCAGATGGATGTTAAGACCGCTTTCTTACATGGTGATTTAGAAGAACGAATTCTCATGGAACAGCCAGAAGGTTTCGTGAAGAAGGGAGATGAGAATAAGGTCTGTCTTCTTAGAAAGTCGCTATACGGTCTAAAGCAATCTCCAAGGCAGTAGAACCTAAGGTTTGATGGTTTTATGAAGAAGTTGAAGTTTATCAGAAGTGAGTTTGATTCGTGTGTTTACATGAAGGATGTAAGGTCTGATAAAGCTATCTACTTGTTGTTATACGTGGATGACATGCTTATAGCTTCAGGGAGTAAGTCTGCTGTTAAGGCCTTAAAGGATAGTTTAAGTTCCGAGTTTAAAATGAAGGACTTAGGGTGTGCATCCAGAATTCTTGGTATGGATATTACTCGAGACCGACAGAAGGGTGTTCTAAAGTTGTCACAGGCTAAGTATCTGGAGAAGGTTCTGAAGACTTTCGGGATGTTTGAAGCTAAGTCTGTGGTTACACCTACGGCTTCACATTTTAGGTTGAAGAGTTTACATCCTAAGGATAGGGCTGAAGAGTATGAGTACATGAAGGATGTTCCCTATGCAAGTGTTGTTGGAAGTCTAATGTACGCTATGATTGGGTCAAGGCCTGATCTAGGTTTTGCAGTTGGTTTGATTAGCCGGTTCATGTCTCATCCAAGCAGGGATCACTGGGAGGCTGTTAAGTGGGTTCTAAGGTACGTGGCAGGAACTTATGAGAGGTGTTTAACATTTGAAAAGGCTACAGAGTTCAGAGTTGAGGGGTTTACAGATTCTGACTATGCTACGGATCTTGATAAGAGAAGATCAGTCTCCGGAATTGTTTTTCAAGTTTGTGGTAATACGGTATCTTGGAAATCAGGATTACAGTCAGTGGTAGCTTTATCCACCACTGAAGCTGAGTTTATGGCTATGACTCTAGCGGTTAAAGAAGCAATTTGGTTAAGAGGTTTTATAACTGAGCTAGGCTATTCACAAAACAGTGTAAGGATACACTGTGATTCACAAAGTGCAATTGCTTTATCTAAAAATGCAGTTCATCATGAAAGGACGAAGCACATGGATACTCAGTTTAACTTCATCAGAGATATTGTTTCTAAGGGTATTGTCAACCTAGTGAAGATACATACGTCTAAGAATCCAGCAGATTTTCTAACTAAGTGTTTACCTGGCACCAAGTTTCAACTCTGCTGTGAGGTTCTTAAGATTCGCTGATTTGACTGCCGGCTCCGGGTAACTCCAGAAAGCTCCTCAGGAATGCAAATTGCAAGAAAAAGGAGTGTTAATATGTGTATCTAACGGATTACAGATATATACACTCAAAGGGAGGAGTTACCCGTAGGAAAAGAGTGAGGTCCTGAGGTCTCAGTCTGGTTCAAGTTCATCGGATGGTTGAGTTTCAGGTGGAGCTAGTTCGATGATAGGTTCTTCTGTGGTGTGTGTTGTCTGAGTCGTTCTGATCTGCATGCCCAGAGTGAACAGAAAAAAGCTTTGCGGTTAAGTTTGGTGAAGCTACAAAGGAAGGTTCAAATCGAATGAGATTGGTTACCTTAAGGATCTTAAGGTTTGAGGAGGAAGCTCGCAGTGATGTCTTCGAACTTGAGATCTGTACATGCAAGAATCAATAAGGCGTGGTAGCAGTGTGATCGAAGAGTCAGGAGTAAAAGGAAATTATGGAGATCTAGAGAGTTTCAGGGATTTACCATATAAACGAGGTTGGAGTGGTGTTTGAGATATTGGCTTAGTCTTCGGTGTTCTTCGTGGTGAATTGATCTGAAAGAGCATTGGTTTTGTCGGCAGAAACTCGAGAGAGAAAGGACAAAATGACTTTAGGGTTGGTATCGCGATGTGTCCGAAAAAACAAAAGAGGTGGAGATTTGTGGATCAGGCTTTTGGTTTACGGACCAATTCAGTGTTGGGCCTATTCTTAATGGGCTTAATACCAACAGTCTAAGATGGCGAAGCCCATGTTGACTGTTTTAACGGCTGATTCGGGTAAAGCCGTTATAACAACCTCAAAGCCTAGCGTCTTCTTCCTGCGATCAAATCAGATTACAGAGGAGATCAAGAACGAGCAATCACAGAGATAGAGATTCAGAGAAGGAGAAAGAGTTCTACCAGGCGCAGTTGATCGGAGACTGGAGTCGGCGNGAGATTCAGAGAAGGAGAAAGAGTTCTACCAGGCGCAGTTGATCGGAGACTGGAGTCGGCGATACTCCGGTGATTCTGCGTGCCGGTTCCGATTACCCGTGGTGTATTTCGGAGGTAACGTTGTTGTGTAATCTCGTTGTAGAGATCACTGTTTACCGGAACTTGTATTACTCTGACTTTAGTGATTGTTGAGGGCGAAGCTCCCTCCCCGGTGAGTAGGAAACGAACACCGGGTTAACAAAACCTTGTGTGTGCTCTGTGTCGTCTTTGTTTAATCTGCAAATCACAAAGTCAAACACATAAGAACTTGAATCATAGAAGAATCAATCAACTAAGCAATCAAGAATATAAAGAAAACGATCAACAATTATATATTGGTCTCAAAGCAAGTTCGTAATATTCACTAGTGCAAATTAAAAATGATATATAGGTTTTTTTTTTGAACACATAAAATGATATATAGGTTAATGTAACTAATCTTATATAAACTCTCTAGTTGGTAACAGGGAATTGAACGCTGAATCATTTTGCGTTTTATGATTTTATTAGTCATGTGCATTTCTCAGATTTATATATAGTGATTGTGAAATGTGAATCCGTGATTATATAATAATTCCCCCATTTGCGAGTTTGTAGTCGTGTAAAAATTATCTGTCATAATTGATTTGTAATTCAGTTATCATCTCTATGTTTTTAGGTTTGACAATTATTCTATTCTACAATATTACTCACAAGAAGCTAAGTTAAGGAGTGATTGTTAATTATTTGATGCAAATTTCGCAGCATCAATATAAATGCAATGGAGATGATGGTAGCCTTCGCGGCTTCATGGCAGCAGCAAGGTTGTAAAATCATACAAATCATATTTTGTATTTAACATATATTATGGATTTATTAGTTATACAAAATAATTTAGCATTGATCAGAAACTATAGTCTAGCTAAAAGATAAACAATGATTCATCAATGTGTTTCAAATATTTTCGCAGTTATTAAAGTTAGGATAAGTTAATAACTAATTGAAAATTGTTATTTAAATGAGACTAAATTAAATATTTTCATATTCTCTCTCATAATATACATATATATAGTATACATTTTATAAATATAATAAATTAATAAGTTTATCCATTTTCAAGTTAAGCTAGTGTAAAATATAATATAATTAGATTAATAATATCTAGAATTTTGTACATAAATCTGTAGTCCCATAAAGTATCATAAATCAATAACTCTAAATAAAATTATATAAACATGAACAAGACACTGTATCATTTTTATTTTTTTGAACGTCAACATACATATTCATATTGACTCTACGAACCAATCCGGTAACTCTATATCCATGTGAACATCGTAAGTCGGTTGTCTTCTGGCACTGCGTGCTAAACTGTCCGCCAGTAAATTTAGTATTCTTGGTACATAGATGAATTCCAAGCTATGAAAAATCCCCTTGAGCGTCTTGATATCTTCCAAATAATTTGCAAAGGCTGGCCATTCATCTGGTTCTGAAACCATTTTCACCAATTGAGAACAATCTGTTGCAAAAGTAACTTGATTTAGACGCAAATTCCTCATACTCTCCATTTCCCAAATCAGCGCTTCCACCTCCGAATGAAAGGGTGATAAGCTAGCTCTGACGTTTCTTGCTCCCATAAAACCCACAAAACCTTCAAGTGTGCTATACCAACCATAGCCATCAAACACATCGTTGTCTTTCCATGAACTATCAATAAAGCACCAACGCCCTGGTATGGACGGTAAGGTCGCTACTGTCCATGACTGTGTTTCACTTTGAGATACCCTGATTTGGGCCTCCTCCCAGAGAATGAATTCTGTCTCTGCCAATTTAAGTGTGTCTTTCGGATCGATATCCAAATTACTAAAAATCTTGCTATTTCTCCCTTTCTAAATGTACCACAGTATCCATGCAAAGTGGTGATTATCCATTTTAGGAATAACCTGCCAAAATAAATGGTCCATATTCGTAAATAGAGACACCGTAGGGAAAATTGCCGGATCCAGAAAAATCTTTGGCAAAGCCCAAACTTGGCGTGCTGGTGGGCATTCAAAGAAGACATGGTTAACCGATTCTTCTTCAGCGCCATATCTATCACACCATATATCCCCTTTTATTCCTCATTTTTGCAAATTTTTCTTGACAGCAATACATCCTGAGAGCAATTGCCATAAGAAATGTTTCATTTTTGGAGGACGCCGTACTTTCCAACAAAATGCTTTTAACGTATCCACTGTAGGTCCATAAAACTCAGGCGGCCTTTCTTTATCCGGGTACACCCTTTCAACCTGATATCCTGACTTAACTGTGTATTTTCCACTCTTGGTGAAATGCCATCCATCCCTATCATCCATTTGTGTCCTACTAAGTGGAACACCTTCTATTAATTCTGCCTCCTGTGGATCTACTAAAGCCTGAATAATTGGCATATTCCAAGTTCTCGTGTCTGTATTGATGAGAGAATCCACTGTGAGTTCCGGGTAAAAGTTATGTTGGTTTTTATTTGCTGGTCTTGGACGAGTGGTTGGGAGCCATGGATCATTCCATACTGAGATAAATGATCCTGATCCCACCCATTTAATAAGTCCTTTTTCTAACCAGAGATCTAGCTGAGATCATACTCCTCTAGCCATATGACGGAGAGTATGAGCGGATCGGTTCTAAAGGTGTCGCATTCCTATAGTACCGATCTTTGAAAACACGAGCAAACAAAAGGATTTTGTTTCTCAATCAGCCAAAGTTGTTTGCCTAGCATTTCCGTATTAAAATCCTCAAGGTCCTTAAAACCCAAACCCCCTTCATCTTTATCTAGACATACTTTGTCCCATGATTTCCAGTGCATTCCTCTTGTGGTTCCCCCAGAGCTCCACCAAAATTGTGCTACCGCACTCTTTAGTTTTTTTGTAGTTGCTTTAGGTAACCTATAGCATGTCATCACATGATTTGGTAACACCATGAGCACTGATTTGGTAATCACTTCTTTCTCTCCCTTCGTAAAAAACCGAAAAGTCCAGCCATTAACTCTTTTATTTAATCTTTCCTGAACAAACCCAAATACATGTATCTTAGACCCACCCAGACTCTCTGGTAAGCCTAAATATGATCCTATACCTCCTATATTCTGAATACCGAGTATATCCCTTAGCGCTTGTCTGTTATCTTCCCCAATTTTATGGTCAAACTGAATTGAAGACTTCTGGAAATTTATTAATTGACCTGAGACCGCCTCATATTCCTTAAGTATGGTGAGGATGGTTTGACCCTCCTCCGGTTGCGCCTTACAAAAGAAAAAAACTATCATCCGCAAAAAGCAGATGAGAAATCACTGGACACGCTCTGGCAACCTTCATCCCCGTTAATCGTTTATGTCACTCCGCCTTTTTAATGTTGGTAATCAAAACCTCCATACACAAAATAAAAAGATAAGGAGACAAAGAATCCCTTTGTCTTAACCCTCTCTGCGGGATAATGGAACCCTTATGTTGTCCATTTATCAGTACTCGATGCTGGACCGACGATATACATACCATCATAAGCTTTGTCCAATGTTGGTCAAAACCCATCTTTTGAAACACAGCTAATAAAATCTCATTCCACCCTATCATATGCTTTACTCATGTATGTTTTTATCGCCATAAACTGGCAGGATTTACTGGCTCTCAGACCATGAATCATCTCCTGTGCAATTATTATATTGTCCGAAATTAACCTCCCTGGAACAAAAGCCGATTGGGTTTCCGAGATGAGCTTGGGTAGACAACTCTTCAGCCGTTGACACAATACTTTTGAAATGATCTTATACCCTACGTTGCAAAGACTTATCGGTCTAAGCTCCATCATCCTTGTTGGTCTCTCTGTCTTCGGAATCATACAAACATGTGTAATATTTAAACGAGCATTAAATTCTCCTGATTCCAAAAAAATTATTCACCATCTCTACCAAATCTTTTTTAATGACATGCCTGGACTGCTAGAAAAAAAAATGCTGTCATCCCATCAGCAATAAGTGCATCCCTCTACCTACGCCCTAAACTGAGCAAAGCCCCCCTTTGCCTTGATTTAATTTGGCTTCACTGTGCTCGGGCGTGGCCAAGAAGCCTACACTCCAGCGGACTGCCCACTTACCGAGTGAAAGAGTTATTCTATGAAAGAAAATCTCATTTTTTTCGTTTCAAATCTTCAAATTAAATGTATCTTTAGTAAAAAAAATGCCCCTCCCACCTTTCGGTGAAATATTTGCCTGACCTTTTGGGAAGCCCGTTCCCACTACGCTCATGGCCCAGCTGGCCTGCCAGCAATTTTTTTCTCTTTCTCTATCACTTTCCCATAAGTACAGCACTTGTTGAATCGATAGAGAACCCTTCATAGGAGTCAGGCTTCTCAAGATCAACAGACTCAATGACAGCCAAGGAAAGAGTAGGAAAAGATGACCCTTCTCTGAATGCATCATAAATAAAGTTTATTTAACCTCCTCCTCTGTGGTCCTCCTTAATAGCCTCTGATTCATTTGAGGTGTAATATGTGAGGGAACTTCCTTTCAATATTTTCATGTTATTTTTCTAAAAAGTTGATTTCACCTCTAATTTTTATTTCCCTTTCAATATTTTCATGTTACTTTTATCTAATTACATCAAAAATTCATTTATATGCTATGGTACATATTGAAAATAAATTAATATATCAAATAATTTAACAAAATAGATGAAAGTCAATCTACAAATTGTAATTAAATAATATGTGTTGACAAAAAATGATCTATACTCTAAAAAAATTATTATGAGATATTTTTATTTTGAAAATAAAAAATGAATTATAAATATAAATCTAATTTTTTTAAAAAAATTGAATAAATCTAATATTAATAAAATATTATAGTATTGACAATATTAACTTATAGATTTTTTCTGTGCATATTTTTAGTACTATAATATCTCTATGCTTATCTATCTCTCTCTATATATGTATATATACAGATGTCTACACTAAATAGGAATCTTATCAGCGTTTTCTTAGTTTTTCTTTTGTAATAATATATGTAATAGTGTACGAGTTTCAAACAAAATCGGAAGTGGAAACTCTAAAGGAGCCAAATTTGCGACAATAATAGTGGTTTTGACGTCACTATCAATAGGAGTCATTCTCTTCTTTGTCTTTCTGTTTCTAAGAGGAAGGGTTTCGTACATTTTCACAACAAGTGAAGTTTTTGCCGCACAAGTTGCCGATCTTTCTCCAATCTTAGCCTTTTCCATCCTCTTAAACAGTGTTCAACCTGTTCTCTCTGGTACGCATATTCTCTCTTGATCTTCCTGTCGTCTTTGCCATGATAAAATTGTTTTAGCGATCATTATAACTGCTATATATGTTTGTAAGAAGTTGTTTGAGAGATCACTATATATGTTTGCATATGCATGGACCGTATATCCTAGAACTTTCGCTTAACCGGTTCATATAAACTGGTAAGGGAAAATAGTTAGTTTTTTTTTTTTTTGTGTTTGGGGGAGGGTGGGAGAGTTAGATCAGATATTTGAGTATTAGACTAATACTTTAGATTTCCGTGTATGTATGAATTTGTATCTTGAATAGTTTGGGGTGATCGGGACAAGTAACTATTCGAATAAGACGATTATACTATATTACTAAATCACTTTCATATATAGTGACTTCTTACTATTATTCCCGATACTCGGCCCTAGCGAGACCCTATACGCTATAACATAGCATTATGCATATATTCAGTAGTGAATATACTACATATAAGACGAGTTTATTTGTGTCTAACCCTAGTACCCATTGTATTTGTATATTTATATATAGTTAGTATCGATAAGAAACTTAAACGAGAGCATATGTTCATGAACCGATTATAATCGGAGCAGGAGTTGCTGTTGGAGGGGGATGGCAAAAATATGTTACGTACGTTAATCTTGGTTGCTATTACCTTGTTGGGATTCCTACCGGTATTTTCCTTGGTTAAGTCGTAGATTTGCAAGTCAAAGTAAGTCTATTATTTTCCTAGTTGTTTTTAAATCTATACATTAATAGTTTAATTAACATACAAAATAATTTATTTTCTTTCTTTTGCCAAAATTCTTAGGGTGTTTGGTTAGGAATGATTTTTGGAATCTTCGTTCAGACTTGTGTGCTTACCATAATGACTATGGGAACAGACTGGGATAAACAGGTACATAAATTCAATATATCAAATTTTTATTAGAAATTTTTTTGAAACTTTTCTCAAAATTTAAAACATTTTATTAGCCCAAAAGTCGAATTATTTATTGAAAACATTTCAGGTGTCTGTTTCGCAAGGACGTCTGAACCGTTGGGTTGAACCAGAATCACGAGGTCAAAACCAAACTTCACCAAGAGTATAGTTGTAAAGATTGAGGTAAAACATGGTTCTTTGTAATCGACTGTAAAATCCACACTCTATTCTCGAAAGTATACACTTGTGTTGTGTGAGCATCTAAATAAAATTTGAGATATACTTTAACGAATTTTAGAACACAAAGAACAGCATTATCCCTAGCACCCTTAATGGGACTTTTAATCATTTTCAGTAATAAATGTGTGTTAAACATTTTATTTAAGAAATTTCTATTTTTATGTCCTCTAATGCAAGTTTCTTATTTTGGAGTTTTTAAAAAAGAAAAAAATAAACATTGTTTTATATAAGACAATATTTACTTATTATATAAAATATATTAAAAAATAACATTTAAAAATAGATTTTAATATAAAACATAAAAGTAAAATAATCGAGAATAATTTGAATCCGAGCTCAGTTGTTGTCCTCATCACGTCCAAATTTACTCCATATATGTTCAACTAAATCTGCTTGTAGTTGTTCATGCATTTGTCTATCACAAATTCTAGTTCAAACACTCATCATATTAGCGATATTTGTAGGAAAATCTGTAGACGTGAGATCCACATGAACTTGTCTTCTCCTTGTTGGAACTTAGAAACATCAAATTGCGTGTATCCATCTCATTCGTCTTTTACTATCATATTAAGGAATATGATACATGCTCTCATAATCTTCCTAAGTTTGACTTTATCCCAAAAAAATACTGAATTTTTACGATGGCAAAGCGAGCTTGCAAGACTCCAAAATCACGCTCGACATCTTTTCGGAGAGTTTCTTGATGTTGAGCAAATAAATCTGCTTTCGGCCCATTTCAGATAAATACCATTTCAGATAAATACCATCGATGAGATAGTAAGCCAAATGATACTCTTTTCCATTGACAAAGTAAATCACTTGCGGAGCTTGACCCTTTATTATGTCATAAAAAATAGGTGAGTGATCAAGAACATTAATATCATTTCAGGTACCTAGAGGTCCAAAAAACGCATGCCATATCCAGAGATCATATGAAGCAACCGCCTCTAAAACGATTGTTGGTTTATCCGAACCACGAGAATATGGCCCTTTCCAAACGGTGGGACAATTCTTCCACTCCCAATGCATACAATCGATGCTTCCAATCATCCCGAGAAATCCACGATGCGCTCTAATATCAAGTAGACACTAAACATAAGTCGGTGTTGGTCTTCATAGGTAATCATCACTGAACAAATAAATATTTCCTTCCACAGAATTCTCCAACCATGACCGAGTTATCGTTTCACCAAGCCTGAGGTATTCGTCGACCATGTCAGCTGCAGTTCCATATGCCAAGATATGAATAACTGCTGTACATTTTTGGAGTGTAGAGAGACAAAGCCTTCCAAGACCATATTTCTTTTGGCGAAAGAATTGAACTTCGTTGGAGAGTTGATCAACAATGTGCATAAACAATTGCTTGTTCATTCAAAAACGTCGTCGGAATAAATTTTCAAGATACGTTAGAGTTTCACTAAAATAACCATTCCAAAAACGTAAATGGTCTTCTTCACGATTTCTCGCCAGCTTCCACCCCGACAAAAAAAAACATGAGCGCTCTTTCGATATAAGCTCGTTTATTTTTATTTTTCATTTCTTCTTCTGGTTCATTAACATGAATGGTAAATTTTTCAAAGGTTTGATCAAAGTGTTGATCAAAATATTGATCAAATGTATCATCAACTGATCCATCTAAAGTGTTTTGCGAAGAAGAAACCATATATGATGTTTGATCAAAGTGTTTTTGGATCAAATTGGTTTTAGATTTCGAAAAAAACAAAAGGAAAAGGTGTCTGATATAAAGAAAGAACAAGAGGGAATGGTGCTTGATAAAAATAAAGAACACGAGTGAATGGTGTTTATAAAGCTTGAGATGGAATGTTTGATCTTAAGATAAATATTTTGAGAATGCAAAACAATGTTTGAGATGGACGTGAGAAGGAAGAAGAACGTTCGTGAACTAGAGAAGGAAGATGAATGTTTGTGAATTTGACAACACATTTTCTTTTATACAAGTTTCTACAAACACTTTACTTACAAATAACAACTACAATCTGTGACATTTTCATTACAACATGACAACAACTACAATCCGTGAGAACAAAAGTAAAAGACAAGTGACAACAACAGATTCCATGACACACAAGTCCAAGAGATAAGGACAAGTGAAATGAGGTTATAAGAGAATACATGGCAAGTCCAAGAGAGTCCATGAACAAAGTCCAAGAGAGTACAATACTTGTCCAATCCTGAAACAAAGACGAACATGAATCAATAACCAGAACTTGAAACATGAAACATGAAACAAAATACAAAGCACATGCACATCAAGCATATCATTCTCATTACTGAAACAGAACAAGAACAACATCATATATTTTAAACAAAAATCAGAAACAAAGAACAAGAACATATATATTAAGCCAAAATCAGAACAACATCATATATATTAAATAAAAATCAGAAACCAGAAACAAAGAACAAGAACAACATATAAATTAAACAGAAACTAGAACAACAAGAAACTTAAAAAAACAAGTTACACGTACACAGAAACTACATGACAATAATGAGAACAAGTAACACAAACTTAAACCAGTAAGACAAACCGACACAAAATAATTAGACATCAACTCATTATTGAGTTTCTTCTTCCAAGATTCTTCATAACCCGTTAGTGGTCCTTGTTTAGCAATGAGTCTGTCAAGTAGCTTCATCTTAGACAGCTTTTGTTTCAAAGTCAAATCGTGCTTCTTGATGGTCCACATTGTCTGAAAGTTAGCCAGCTCCTTCCCATCAACCACTGTCTTCTTAGAACGGGCTTTTGTCACCTTAACACCAGGGGGACGATTTGTTGCTTCATCATCGTCAGCAGAATCTACTTCATTTTCTTTAGAGCTTGACGAATATGAAACATCCCCACACTTCCTCTTTTTGGAGCTTCCTTGTTTTTTAGTCGTAGATAACTCACACCACTTCTGGTCATTATGAAACTCTTTCCAAGCATGCTCAAAGGTGAACTTTTTTTTATGGTTAGTGCCTTGGTGAAGAAACTTTCGTGGGCTAGTTTGAGAATATGATTCTCATATTGACCACTGCTTCTCTCTCTTGTCGCAGCTTTATATGCTCCACAAAACTTGAAAACTAAGTCATTGAACTTTTGTCAAGATTTTTACACTGAGATGCCTCTCTCTTTTCACATCCAACAAGCTTAGGACTAGCATTGTAGTACGCATACATTCTTTTTGAGAATGCAAGCGACCTTTGCTCATTCCCTACTACTGCATCTTTGCTCGTGTTTAACACGAGTTGATGAGCACAACATCGTCTGTAGGCGTCCATGTCCTTCTTTCTTTACGACTGGCTTGAGTGTTTTTACCAAATTTTGAATCTTCGGTGCCTTGACTGCCGAAAAAGGGAGCTTGGATGAAGAGAGTGAAACTCTCTCTTCTGATACGTTACCAAACACTACTTTTTGTTGACTGTTAAGCAGGTCAACAAATTTTGCAGACTCACTAAATGAATTAAAATCCATTTCCGAAGTCAAAGAGGAGGGAAATAACAGATAGGAAACTGTTGGAGTTGGAAGAGAATAAAAGCGTTTCAGACAGAAATAACACATATAATCTGTTGAGGTTGGAAGAGAAGGAAAGAGTTTTAAAGAGGGAATGCAGACTCGCATTCAACACTCTATACAACTAATTAATTACCTAACTACAAACAAATGCGAGTTGACATATATCTAACTTCTATTAATTACCATTTCACAACCATAATCAAACACAAAACAAGTAATATATTATTGTCAATTCAATTCATTTTAAAAAACAAAGCAACTCATTCAACTACCTAACTCAACCACACGCAATCCTTTTCTCAATTCAACATCACTTCTATTAATTACCAACATCAAGGCCAACTGACCAAAACATTAACTACCTAACTCAACCATTCATGCAGTCGATTCAATTGAGACCAGAAGCTAAATCATATATGGAATTCTAAAAAATTGGGGTACATAACACATAGACACAAATCATATATTTGAACTCTTAAATGATTCAGTTTTATGGATCAATTGGTGCACATAACACACATATACAAATCACATGATCATAAACAATCTATTTAAGTTAGACAAGAATGACAATCAATTCATTTGAGACCACATTCGTAAACACTTGCAATCAATATCATAAATGACCAACGAATAAAACACAAAGTTTTTTTTTTAAAACGTTCAGTCAATATCAAAAACAAACACAAGAGATAGAGACAAATGAAACCTTCATGTCTATTGATCTGTCCTTGGTCAGAAACAAAGACAGAGACAAATCTTATACCTGTTTTGTAGTTGTAGTGATCTTCTTTAACGAACCTCCATGTCTATTGATCCTACTTTCGTAAGAAACAAAGACAGAAACAAACTAAAATTAATCAAAACTAACCGAGACAACATACAATCAAATAACAAAGAAGTATTCAGACACAAAAGGAATAATACATACGTTTACCTTGCGATTTGATTTCCTGGAAGACAACCACCGAGAAAGAGGTACAAGTTTGTCACTATGGAGGAGATCCACCGAGAGAGGACAGCAACAGAGATGCAGACTTGTCAAGGAGTCCACCGAGAGATACACTGACTGCTCATCATCAGGGAAAGATCACGAGACAGAGGCGGAGTTTTCAACGTTTCGCGAGAACGAGGCAGAGTCGTCGGGGTTTCAACCGAGAAACACGGAGTCGCCGAGGGAGAGAAGGAAAGAAGCGGAGTCGTTAAGGGAGAGAAAGAGAGAAGGCGACTCTTCGAGGGAGAGATAGATGCGTCTAATGACATGTGTCTGGCTTGATATGTTTCGTGTTTTTCTTAAAAGAAAGAAGGAGCTAGAGACGCTGACGTCGTCTTAAAACCGACTCGCTCGTAGAAGTTCTCGTAAATCAGACATACTCCAAGTCATCTCCGATCCACCATGGTCTTTAATC